AGCAGCACTCGACGAAAAGCGTCCAGAATTAGTCAACAGAAAACGCATAATCGTCCATCAGGATAACACAAGACTGAATGTTTCTTTGATGACCAGGCAAAAACTGTTACAGCTCGGCTGGGAAGTTCTGATTCATCCACCATATTCATATTCACCAGTCATTGCACCTTCGGATTTACATTTATTTCGGTCTTTACAAAATTCTCTTAATGGAAAAAATTTCAGTTCCCTGGAAGACTGTAAAAGGCACCTGGAACAGTTCTTTGCTCAAAAAGGTTAAAAGTTTTGGGAAGATGGAATTATGAAGTCGCCTGAAAAATGGCAGAAGGTAGTGGAACAAAAAGGTGAATACGTTGTTCAATAAAGTTCTTGGTGAAAATGAAAAATGTATCTTTAAAAACCAAAGGCACGGGCTTCCCTGGTGGCGCAGTGGTTGAGAGTCCGCCTGCCGATGCAGGGAACATGGGTTCGTGCCCCGGTCCGGGAAGACCCCACATGCCGCGGAGCGGCTCGGCCCGTGAGCCATGGCCGCTGAGCCTGCGCGTCCGGAGCCTGTGCTCCGCGACGGGAGAGGCCACAGCAGTGAGAGGCCCGCGTACCGCAAAAAAACCCAAAAACCAACCAAACAAAAAAAAAACCAAAGGCACTTTTTGACCAGCCCAACATATTCAAAGGTTCTGGGAATTAGGACTTACGACTTGGACATCTTCCGGGGGTGGGGGTGGGACATCATTCTGCCTCGCATATTAATGATACAAGAGAATTAGGAGTGATGACAGGAGCTGAGTCTGCAGGCGGGACAGAGAGATGGGACCCAGGGCACAAGGCGAGATGTTGGTCTTGGATTGGGAGGGACAGATGAAAAGCAGAGCATCTGGGCAGCTGATAGAATGGGCTGTGGGAAGATGAAGTGTCTGGTAGCCTCTACGCTTTCAGAAGAATGAGGAGTGAGGGAATCAGCTGATTGAAGGTGGAGGACCAGGGTGTGGTGGGGATTTGAGGAGAATGAAGATGGGGAATGGCCATCTTGTGGGGGGGTGGGTGTTGAGTGTACCTTCATGAAGGACACAGAGCAGGGTCACAGGAGGTCTGGGATTTGGGATCCAGCCTCCCTCAGAGCCCCCTGGGAAGGCACAGAGTGGGTGAGAGGATTTACTAGGGTTGGGGTTTCACCCCAACAGTGCCCTGGAGGGGATCATAGGCAAAGAAGGGAAAGACATCCAAAGGAGAGTGACTTTATGGGGGACCGTGGAACGGTGGAAGCAGGGGGAAGAGGGAAGGGAGGACAAGATGTGGGGAGTCAAAGATAATGAGAATCTAATGGGGTCAATGCATTGTACTGCTGGTGGGCTTGAAAGTTGGCTTTATTTTTCTTTCTTTCTTTATTTTTGCTGCACCCCCATAGCTTGCAGAATCTCAGTTCCCCGACCAGGGATTGAACCCCAGGCCATGGCAGTGAAAGACAAGAATCCTAACCACTAAGCCACCAGGGAACTCCCTTGAAAGTTTTTTTCTTAAATTTGGTTGGTGGGAAAAGGGAGTGCATGGACAGAGAATGGGATGATAGAGTTTGCCTACTGTGTAGCACAGGGAACTATATTCAGTATGCTGTGATGAACCATAACGGAAAAGAAGAGGAAAAAGTATATTTATGTATAACTTTATGTGCTGTGCAGCAGAAATTGACATTGTAAATCAACTATACTTGAATAAAATAATTTTTTCAAAAAAGATGAGGAAATCAACTAAACTCCCATAAAAAACAAACAAAAAAGAGGAAGAAAAAAATAGTTTGGGGAGTTCCCTGGCGGTCCAGTGGTTAGGACTTGGCACTTTCACTGCTGTGGCCCAGGTTATCCCGCAAGCCGTGCCGTGTGGCCAAAAAAAAAAAAAAAGTTTTAAGGGTGTGTAGTTACCGATAATGACAAGGACAAGGGTATGACCGAGGAAGTGGGTGGCACAATCAAGGGGGACAGATAGATACGGGTGTAGTTTCTTTGGGAGGAAAACAAAAATTGCCTAAAATTGATTGCAGTTTTGCATGCAAAACTCTTATGAATATAGGAAGAACCATTGTGTATATACCTTATTTTTAAAAATTATTTTATTTTAAATTTATTTAAAAAAAAATTTGGCTGCGTTGGGTCTTCATTGCTGCGCGTGGGCTTTCTCTAGTCGTGGCGAGTGGGGGCTGTTCTTCCCTGTGGTGCGCGGGCTTCTCATTGCAGTGGTGTCTAAGCACGTGGGCTTCAGTAGTTGCAGCATGCAGGCTCAGTAGTTGTGGCTCGAGGGCTCAGTTGCTCTGAGGCATGTGAGATCTTTTCCAGACCAGGGGTCGAACCCGTGTCCCCTGCATCGGCAGGCGGATCCTTTTTTTTTCTCTTTTTTTTTTTTTTCCGGTACGCGGGCCTCTCACTGTTGTGGCCTCTCCCGTTGCGGAGCACAGGCTCCGCGGCCATGGCTCACGGGCCCAGCCGCTCCGCGGCATGTGGGATCTTCCCGGACCAGGGCACGAACCCGTGTCCCCTGCATCGGCAGACGGACTCTCAACCACTGCGCCACCAGGGAAGCCCTGCAGGCGGATTCTTAACCACTGCACCATCAGGGAAGTCCCATGTCGTATACTTTAAACGAATGAACTGTATGGTATGTGAATTGTAGCTCAATAAAACTGTAAAAAAGGAAGGAAGGAAGCAAGGAAGGGGGCTGGGATAGATCAGAGGGCAAGATGGATGGAAATGATGGGTTCAGAGTACCAAGAGGCCACGTGTGGATTATCTAGTATCATGGTGTGTGTTAACAAACCACCCAAAGACTTTATGACTGAAAACAATAAAGATCATTTATCTCACTCACAAGTCTGCAAGCTGGGCAGGGCCTCGGGGAGAAGGCTTATCTCTCCTCCACGGGGTAGCCTGGCTGGGGCAGGAGGATGTGCTTCTAAGATGGCTCACTCGCGTGGCTGCAGGCTGGTGCTGGGGATGAGCTGTGAGTTTAGTAGCCTAGAGTCCTCTCCACATGGGCCTTGTCATCTAGTCCGCACAAGTGTCCCAAGGAAAAGAGTGGGGTGGAACGTTGCCTTTTATGACCCAACCTCGGAAATCACACTGCGTCTCTTCCAAGGTGGTCTGTTAGTTGAGGGTCTCACCAAAGGCTGGAGAATGGACTCCACAAGATAGGGTGTGACATGGCTTGGACAAAAAATATGGTCCTTTTTGGAAAAGACAACCGGGTACAGGCCAGGTTTTAGCAGAATCATCTATATGGGGATATTGAAATTATTAAGAATTATGACAGTCGTTTTAGAGTGATGGATATAGAGCCAGGATTGAAAATCTTCCATGAAAGAGTGGGAGTGGGCAGAAGGGAAAGAGATGAGTTCTTTAGGGAAGGTTGGGAAGAGGTGTCCATGGATAACTTGAGCTTCAAAGGAGCTGAGGGAGGGAGAATTGTCTGGAAGTGGCAAGAAGGAGCGCCCACCTCCAGGCTCAGTGGTAGGAGGGTGTTAAGAGATAAGGTTGCAGGCAGGAGAGATCGGTGCACACACAGCATTCAGAAACCTACAAAGAGGGATCTCTGTGGGCTCTGAGAATGAGAAAAAAAAGAGAAAGGAGACCAGAAAGAAGGGAACAGTCCAGAGAGATGGGGAGACAGAGACCCAGACAGGGGTAGGGCCAAAGACCATGAAAGAAAGGGACACAGACACAGAAAGAGGGAAACAGAAATCCAGATGGATGGTGACATAGCATCCCAGAAAGAAATTGTAGACAGGAAGAGAAAGTGCCAGAATTCCTAGAGGGTTAAAACCTTCAGTGTCTCTCTCTACTCCCCCAGCAGAGGGCGCCCGGGGCCTCATTCCCTGGAGTCCGGGTGTCCAATTCCCACGACTTCCCGCCAAGCACATCGGATGGGGCTATTTTTACCCCGTGTCATAGGACACCGGTGGCTGGAAGGCCATCGTCTGTCTGTCCTTTGGTCCCTTCGAGTGACCCTGCGGCATTTCCCCAGCCCACCCCTGACCTGTTCCTGGCAGGCCTGGTCTCCTTTTGCACTATTCAGGGCTGCAGCTCAGGCCTTGCTAGGTCTAAGAAAGTCTGGCAGAGAATCCAGGTGGAGACCCGGCGGGTGAGGGTAGGGGCAACCCGAGCGAGGGCACCCCATGTGGGGGGCACATGCTCAGGGTTTAGAGCTGCTGGAGCATCCCCAGGACGGGGAAACCACCAGGACAATGGCAGAGACAACCTAGGGTGAATGTCAGAGAGAGATTCAGAGATATGACTCGGGAGAGGCTCAGTCCTCCAGAGGCCCTGAGACAGAGACTTGCAGTAATTCAGAGAAACAGGGAAAGAAAGATACCCAAAGGGGAGACCCAGAGAATCCCAGGGACAGAGACACAGTGGGCTGAGAGGTAATGAGAGAGAAGAGACCCAGAGAGACAAGAAGCAGAGAGACCCAGACAGAGGGGAAAGACAGAGACCAAGAGAAAGAAAGAAACAGAGATAGAGATACAAGAATATAAGAAAGACGGAGATTCGGAGAGACCAAGACACAGAGACTGACGGGAATCCCCAGACACAGATGACCCTAGAACGGCAAAGCTCAGGGATAAATGACCCATAGAGATACTCAGAGATAAAACCCCGAGATCAGAGATACAGTCAGACCCAAAGTGAAGACAGAGCCAGACACAGAGACACACAAAAAGAACGAGAGAGAGAGACAAAGAGATGGAAATTTGTGACTCGAACAGAGCGGCTCAGATACTCATAAAAACATAGACGAGAGACATACACGGAAACCCGGAGAGACGCAGGACAGAGATCTCAGGCGATGGAGAGACAGAGTGAAAGGAACCCCGAAGGCCAGGTGGACCCGGAGAAAGCGCAGCGCCGCGTCGCCTGGGGGTAAAGGGAGGGCGCCCCGGCAGAGGGCGCCCGGCCGCCCTCTGCCCCGCCGGGGTCACGGCGCCCCCTCCCCCGCGTCCTGGCCGCACGGCCGGGCTATTTTTACGCGTGGACACCGGACACCAGGCTGGGGCGGCGGCGGCGGCGGCGGCCGAGGCGGGGCCGGGCCGGGTCGGGCGTCGGGGCCACACGTCCGTCCGCGGGTCGCCGAGGCTGCGCGCACCATGGAACCCGGGTGCCCGCAGCCGTGCGGCTGCTGCGAGCGAGTGGTGCTCAACGTGGCTGGGCTGCGCTTCGAGACCCGGGCGCGCACGCTGGGCCGCTTCCCGGACACGCTGCTCGGGGACCCGGTACGCCGCAGACGTTTCTACGACGGCGCGCGCCGCGAGTACTTCTTCGACCGGCACCGGCCCAGCTTCGACGCGGTGCTCTATTACTACCAGTCGGGCGGGCGCCTGCGGCGGCCGGCGCACGTGCCGCTCGACGTCTTCCTGGAGGAGGTGGCCTTCTACGGGCTAGGCGCCGCAGCGCTAGCGCGCCTGCGCGAGGAGGAGGGCTGCCCCTTGCCATCGGAGCGCCCCCTGCCCCGCCGCGCCTTCGCGCGCCAGCTCTGGCTGCTCTTCGAGTTCCCCGAGAGCTCGCAGGCCGCGCGCGTGCTCGCCGTTGTCTCAGTGCTCGTCATCCTCGTCTCCATCGTCGTCTTCTGCCTCGAGACGCTGCCCGACTTCCGCGACGACCGCGACAACTCGGGGCTCGCCGCGGTGGCTGCAGCTGGCCCGGTGAGGGGGCGGGGCCTGCGTGTGGAGAGGCGGGATTTGGGAGGAGCTGGACGAGGTCCACGGGGTCCTGGCCAATCATAAAGTGGGGTAAGGGGCAATGGGAGGTGGGGCCTCTCAGGAAGGTGGGGCCTGGCTGTGGATAGGCAAGGCATTGGGGGCCTGGTTGGAAGACCTGACCAATCAAAGGTGGGCAAAGGCCTGTGAGAGGTGGGCAAGCCAGGGACGGCGCCAGACCTGGGAACCCTACATTAAATCCTGGGCTGGGGGCGGGAAAGGTGTAGCTTAATGGGGCGGGGCCTGAGGATCTAAATAGGAGGACCTGCCTTTTCAGAAGGCGTGCGCTGAGGTAGGTGAGAAACCCGGCTTTTGGAGGGCAGGAGCACTGGAGGACAGGTGTATTAAGAAATCAAAACTGAGGGATAAGGAGAGACTGAAAAATTGGGGGTCTATACGGCTGGCAGTAACCAATGGGAAGGATGGGCTGGAGGTAGTGAGATCTGGGACCTGAAGAAAGCCTCCGAGGGAGCTGCAGATGGAGGGGTGGGGCCTGAGGATTGGGGCAAAAGGAATCCATCATAAAGAAAGTTGAGCTGAGGGCCGTGAGGGGAGGGGCCCGGGTTTTGGCATAAGGATAAAGTGTTTAACCATTATGGTCCAGGCTGGGTTTGGGGAGGGCAGGGCACAAGGGAGTGGGGCCAGGATAGGGACCCTCCCCATCTGGAAATTCAACTCTGGGGGTGGGATTTTGGGAGGGAAGAGATTGAGCCCTACTCAAGCATTATTTCAGGAGGCCCTGCCAATGAAGGATCAGGGACCCTAAAGTCAGCCTTCCCTGGGGGTCCCGAGAAGGAGTGTACTACAGCTAGGTCACCGGGGTTCTGGGGCCAGCAGCTATTGACCAATTTGTAAAGAAGTAGTTGAATATTTAAACAGGAAATATGGCCATTCCAGTGCGTCCCAGCCCTGGCATGGTCCTCCCTGAACCCCTTCCTCTCTGCAGTTTCCGGCTCGGCTGAACGGCTCCAGCCCAGTGCCTGGACCCCCACCTCGCTTGCCCTTCGATGACCCGTTCTTTGTGGTGGAGACATTGTGCATCTGTTGGTTCTCCTTCGAGCTGCTGGTGCGCCTGGCAGCCTGCCCAAGCAAGACAGCCTTCTTCAAGAACGTGATGAACCTCATCGATTTCGTGGCCATCCTGCCTTACTTTGTGGCACTGGGTACCGAGCTGGCCCGGCAGCGGGGGGTGGGCCAGCCAGCCATGTCACTGGCCATCCTGCGAGTCATCCGACTGGTACGCGTCTTCCGCATCTTCAAGCTGTCCCGGCACTCAAAGGGCCTGCAGATCTTGGGCCAGACCTTAAGAGCCTCCATGCGAGAGCTGGGCCTCCTCATCTTCTTCCTTTTCATTGGTGTGGTCCTCTTCTCCAGCGCAGTCTACTTTGCTGAGGCCGACCGGGCAGACTCCCATTTCACCAGCATCCCTGAGTCCTTCTGGTGGGCAGTGGTCACTATGACCACAGTTGGCTATGGAGACATGGCGCCCGTCACTGTGGGCGGCAAGATAGTGGGCTCTCTGTGCGCCATTGCCGGCGTGCTGACCATTTCCCTACCTGTGCCAGTCATTGTCTCCAACTTCAGCTACTTTTACCACCGGGAGACAGATGACGAAGAGGCTGGGATGTACAGCCACGTGGACACGCAGCCCTGTTGCCCACTGGAGGGCAAGGTCAATGGGGGGTTTGTGGATCGAGAGGTTCCTGAGCTCCCACCTCCACTCCTCTGGGCTCCCCCTGGGAAACACATGGTCACCGAAGTGTGAGGACAGTTGAGGTCTGCAGAACCTCACATTTCCTTGGAGGGAGGGAGGGAGGGAAGGGAGGAAGGAAAGTTGGGGGGAGGGTGTTGGGTTTAGGAAGAGCTAAGTTAAGTGGTAATGAGTTGGGGAACACTAAGTCTTATTGGGTCTTGAGTTGTGGATTGGTAGCTCCTGTGGGTACCTCCTTAGGTGACAGTGAATGGCAATGGGTTATGCTGATTTGAGGGGGAGGCTCCATCGGTTTGTATTGCGTTGGGTTGTGTAAAGCTTGGGGTAGTGTTGAGATAGGTTTTGTCACATAATTTTGTGAGTTTCTTAGTTCCATGTTGGGTCGGGTTGGGTTACGAGTGTAGGTGAGTCTTGTCCAAGTGCATTATGCAGGATTCTGTGGTTTTATGAGTCCCCTAGGGCCATGTTGGATCAAGTAAGGTGGTCATCCACGGCACTGTTGGGACTGATTGTGTGTTCATGCATGGCACTGTAGAGTTGGGTTGAGACACTGGAAACTGCGTGGCTTTGTGATTCTTCTAGGGCCATGTTATTTTAAGTTCTGTGAACTTGTGAGTCATGTAGAAATACGAAGAGTCATGTGATAGAATGTGAGCTTTCTAGGTCATATGAGGCTAAGTTGGGTTGGAATGTATGAGCATAGGAGTCTTTCAGGGTTCTGTTGTGTTGAACTGTGTAGAGTTATATGGCTAGAAGTTTGTCGGGGCTACAATGAGTTGAGTCGTAATGAGTTGTATAATCATGTGAACCTCGTAGGACCAGTTCAGTTGGGTCATACAACTGTTTGATTTGGGTTACATCAAGTTCCGTCCTTGAGTCCTGTAGGAACGTTGGGTTGAGCTGGACTGTATGTATGAGCACCACAGGGCCATACTGGTTTGTTTTGCATTTAGTGGTAGCGCCAGGACCCAAGGATAACAGCACTGGGAAGGAATCATGTGTCAAGGAGTGAATATGGTATGTGGACTCTAGGAGACCAACTGAACTGGCTTGCCCAGTGTCATCCCTATAAGGGGCAGGGCTAAGTTCTGTATTTGTAGATTCAGTTGGTCACACAGAAGGCTTCTAGGTGAACTTGGAAGATGTAGATGCCCCTTCCGTTTACCGCACACCTGCTTTGTTTTGCCATTCAAACCCCTTCTCTGTCTTCCCATAGAGTTTTCCTTCAAGACATGGAGATCAGAGCCACAAGGGAAGGGGAAAGGGGGAGAAACTGCACTCTGTTCAGACATGATGGGGGGATAGAAACCCAAAGGAGGGGGACAGAGAGCTGGGGAGGGATAGAGACCCAGAGAAAGAAAGAGAAAGAAACCCCAAGAGGGGAAAAAGACCCAGAGAGTGGGGGAGACAGAGACCCATAGGGGGCAGGTATCGGGCACCCAGAGAGCAAGGGACAGAGACCCAGAGTTGGAAAGAGACCAGAGCACCCCAGAGAAAGAGAACCAAGAAAGAAAAAGGGAGAAAAAGTCAGTGCCCCTGAACCTGAGAGAGATGCACAGTGTATTCCATGGAATCACAAAGGGATCCCAAATCAGGATGCACCACCCTACCCTCCCGCAGCTCAAGAAGTGTGTCAGACAAACTGCAGGGCCCACTCTATCTTCCTGGGGAGAAAGCAGTGTCTCAGAGCATGGGAGTGGCTTCCCAAGGTCGCGTGGCTTGTCCCCAGGGAGGGATGGGGGGCTGGACTTGTGGCCTGTTGCTTGACCCTACATCATGTCCCCATCAGCCTGCTGGTCTGCACAGGACTTCCCGAGTCTAACAGCCTCATTTCTCACAAATGAAGAAACTAAGGCTCGGGGGAGGTGGGGGGTTACCCAAGGTCAGAGGTCTTTCAGTACTAAAAGGGCATTTGGAGGAGAAAGAAGAGGAGGATGGTTGCATCGCTAACATATATAGGGCTGCCTGTGTGCCAGGTAACTTTCAAAGTACTTGTATTCATTTATTAAAATCCATCCAGTGGTTTACAGAAAGTTGTTGTTATTTTTAGCTAGGAAACCACCCCCCTTTCTTTTTTGGTCAAATGAAATCTCACTTAGGAGCACCAGTGTGATGCATCAGAGGGTGTGAACTGGTTTGAGGAGTCTCTCTTGACAACTCAGAATGTGGCTAACAAATTCCGTTTGGAAACCCCTGATTTAATCCAACCACCTTTTTACACAGAGAGATAGAAGAAGGTACAGATTGTGAGAAGTGTTTGATAAAGGTTGAAAATAATGTAACCTTTAAATAATATAACACTTCTCTCCAAGATGGAGAGACAGGCACATTTGGAAAAGAAACGGAGACAGACAGACCCCCCTCACAGTGACAGACACAGGGCAGAGTCTGGGAGGCAGGCACAGAGCCCAGCACAGGGACCCAAAGAGGAAGAGACACGTGCAGAGGGGACAGAGATACCCAAGGCGAGGAGGGAGAGCAGGAGAGAAGAGGGCGGCGGTCTGGGAGGGGGTAAGAGACAGGAGGGAGGACAAAGACCCATAGAAGGGGGAAGAGACCAGAGAGGAGGGGCCAGAGATCCAGAGAAGAGAGAGGGACAGGGACCCAGACAGAGAGGAGAGGGATACAGAGAGAGGGGGACAGAGACCCAAGGAGAGAGAGGGAGACGGAAACTGTTTCCCATTACTCTTTGAAAACTCACCCCTACTACCCCTTCAGAGACTGAAAGTTGCATAAAGTTCCTCTGGTAGGGCGTGGGGCATGTTGGGTGCTTAGGGGTATGGGAAGCATGGCGAGGTCAGGGAAGTGACCTGAGTGGACACTCAAAGACTGAGAAGCGCCCCTCCTCCACCCCAATAAACAACCGCAGCAGCCTTCTATGTGGCCTTGGCTCGGATGGGGAGAGGTGAGGGAAACACCCTAATCCGGGGACACCCTTCCCGCCACCTTGCCATGCTATATTTAGGCTGAGGGAGGGGTACGGGATGACCCCCCCCCACCTCCACGAAGGCAGGTGTCGGCTTTCCTCCTGAAAATAGCTCCAGGGGAGGGGTGAAGCATTAAGTGTGTCCCGGGACTCCAACTCCTGTCTGATCTCCATCTGTCTTAAGGTCTCTCTTTCTCTGGGTCTCTGTCCCCCTTGTGGGGTTCTGTTCCCTTTTCTTAGCATGTCTGTCTCCTTTCTCTGCATCTGTGTCTTCTCTCTCTCTCTGGGTTTCTGTCTCCCTCTTTCTCTGGGAGTCTGTCCCCTTTCCCTCTCCATTTTTGTGCCTTTCCCCCACCTCCCTTCATCTGTCACTATTCACTTTCTTTCTCTAAGCAGGTCATTCTGTTGCCAAATCATATCTTTGTCTATCTCCGGGTCCTGGAATACCTTGAGTTGCTCTTATCTGAACTCAGGACAAGACCCTCTCCCCAGTCCCCACCCAGGAAATTCCAGCAGAGAGGACTTATGTGGGAGAGACCCCCCCCTCACCCAGCGTCTCCCCGGGGCCTCGGGCCTTATCACTTCCCGAGCCCAGCTGGTTAATGTCTGGCCTGGAGCTCCCGGGAGAGTTGGGGATGAGAGCAGAGGGTGGGAATCTGCCCGGGGATTGACACTTCACTGGCAAAAGAACGCAAAGGAATCTCAGGCCCAGACTCCTGGGTCTGAGGGAGGAGGCAGCTGGAGCCGAGGAAGAAGGGGCTGGGGGTCCAGACTCCTGAGTCTGAAGGAGGAGGGAGCTGCGCGGGCCCAGACTCCGGAGTCTGCGGGAGGAGGGGTCTGGGGGACCTGGACTCCTGGATCCGGGGGAGGAGGGGGCTGGGGACCCGGACTCCTGGGTCTGAGGGAGGGAGGGGTAGGTGCTGGCGCCTGGCCTCCTGGGACTGAGGCGGGCGGAGGGCTGAGCTAGCCAGGCCGGGCTTCCGAGGTCTCTGCACGTGTGTGGAAGGCGGGATCCCCCGGCCCCTCCTCCGCCATCGGGCGCCGCCCCGCCCCCGCCCCCGCCCCGGGCCCTCGGGAGCTTGTGCCGCGAGGAGCCGGTGGGCGAGCGGGCGTCCCTGCAGCCAGCGAGCAGGAGGAGGAGCCGCCGCCGCGCCAGGGGCAGCCGGGGGAGCCGAGGAGTGCGCCCCAGGTAAGAGCCTCCGCGCCTCCTACCCCGGGATTCCGGCGTCCGGGTCGCCCTGCCCCCGGGTAGGGAGGGACGGGGGCGGGGCCTGCGGGGGCGGGGCCTGGCGGAGGAAACTGAGGCAGGAGGGCAGTGTCCCAGAGGGACAGCCCGTGACCCCCCCAGCGGGGTCTCAGGAGTCCGCACCCCCTGGCTAAACCTTCTGGGGGAGGGGGGCCGGGGAGTCCGTATATCTGAGTACCTGGGAAGGAGCTTGAACTCCAACAAAACTCCAGGGTCTGAAGGAGGAGGGCACTGGGGGTCGGACTCCTGGATTTGAAGGAAGAGGGATTTGGGGGCCTGGACTCCCGCATCTGAGGGAGGGAGCTGGGGACCTGAGTTCCTGAAAGAGGAGGCAGCTGTGGCCGGGGCTCTTGGGTCTCAGTGAGGAGGGGGAAGCTAGGGCCCAGGACTCCAGATCTGAGGCAGGAGGCAGCTGGGAACCTACACTCTGGGTTCTGGTTGGGTCAACATGTGCCCCTCTTCACAATTCCCCCTTCCCATTTCCCCATCTCCCAGCCAGGGCAGGCGGCCACACCAGGTATGTGCAGTAGAAGTCTTGGACGGGCCCTGGCCTGTCCTGTGAGGAGAGAACATTCCAGGAAGCAGCCTCGGGGACCCAGGGCTTCTTAAGTGTGGGCCCTCAGGGACCCGGGTGTCCAGGCCAGCCCTGCCCCCGCCCTGTCTGAGAGATGAATGGGCTGAGGAGGATGTAATCTCTTCCAGCCTCCTTCATCCTCAGTGTCTCCCCTCCCCTCTCCTCCTCCCATCTGCTTTCCATCCAGGAGCCATCACCTGGGCAGGGGGATGCAGCCTTGACTCTTGGTCCCTTACACTTTAAAAAGAACACTTTTAGAGAAGGGGAGTGTTCAGGCCCCCTCCTCCACCTGCCTCTATAACCTACCTGTTCCCTTCCTCCGCTAGGTGGTTGCCCCCTCCCTCTCCTGAGATGTCAGGAAGGAGGGGGCCACCTGCGTCCCCCACAGGGGCCCCCCGGAGCCTGGGGGCCCCCAACCCCGGAGCTCAGAGGCGGAGGAGGTGCCGACAGGTCTGGTAACCACCCACTTCTAATCAGTCCTCTCCAGGCCATCCTGTCCCAGAATCCACAGGCTTCCAGAATGTTCTAGAGAGACTGCAATATGCAAACCCCTGCCAGTGTCTCCCAGCCCTGGGCCAATTTCATGGACAGGGAAACTGAAGCCCCACCTGAGAGGAAGTGTCTTGCCTTCACAGTGGCAGTTTGAAGCTGAACTTGGGTCTCCCCAGGATTCCAGAACATGACCTTTCTCAGAATTCTGGAAACTCAAACCTCCTCCAGACTGCAGGGCTTAGGGTTCCTTGGGGTTGTAGAGGCAGGATGGCAGAGTGGAGTTGCTGGGACAGGGTTCAAGTTCCACTTCTGGCATTGGCTGGCTGTGTGACCTGGTGCAAGTCACTAACCTCTCTGAGCCTGTATTTCCCCATTTGCCTGTATTTCCCCATTTGTTGGCTATTAATAGGAATAATAGTAGACTAATTATGATTAATCTAGAAGTTGAGCATTATCGAAGTCCTAGAATATAGGGTCCCCCCAAGTTCTAGAACAAGTGCCAGAACTTCCTCCCTGTGGCAGAAGTTCCCATCGGCCCCCCCACTAAGTTATTATCCTTCTCTCTAATTCCAGCTTCCCTCTCTCTATCCTCAGGTGCTCAGCGAGATGCTCCCCCACCCCTCAGGCTCCCTCCCCATCCTCCTACTTTTCCTCCTCCCCAGTGTCCCAATGGAGCCCCACGCCTCACCCTCACCCCTGCCCCCATTTCCAGTCCCCGAGTGGGACCTCTTGTCCCCCCGAGTAGCCCTGTCCAGGGGTACCCCCACTGGGCCCCCTCTGCTCTTCCTGCTGGAGGCTGGAGCCTTTGGGGAGCCAACTGGCAGCCCGGCCAACCGCAGTCGGCGGGGGGTGAGTGAGACAGCACCAGCGAGTCGCCGCGGAGAGCTGGCTGTGTGTGACGCAGTCAGCGGCTGGGTGACAGACCGCCGGACTGCTGTGGACCTGCGTGGGCGCGAGGTGGAGGTGCTGGGCGAGGTGCCTGCGGCTGGTGGCAGTCCCCTTCGCCAGTACTTCTTTGAAACCCGCTGCAAGGCTGACAGCGCTGGGGAAGGTGGCCCCGGTGGGGGTGGAGGAGGCTGCCGGGGTGTGGACCGGAGGCACTGGGTGTCTGAGTGTAAGGCCAAGCAGTCCTACGTGCGGGCATTGACTACCGATGCCCAGGGCCGTGTGGGCTGGCGATGGATTCGAATTGACACTGCATGTGTCTGCACGCTCCTCAGCCGGACTGGCCGGGCCTGAGGCCCATGCCTGGGAACTGGGCAGGTAGAGGAAGAAGAAAGCTGGATGCTGAAAGACCTCAGGGGTGGCCTGGCTGCTCTAGGCCTCAGTTTGGGAACTCGTCAAATGGTCACAAAAATCATAGGTCTCCGATTTTGAGAGCTCCATCTGGGCAAGAAAGACAGATGGTGAAACCAAATGGGGTTTTGAAGGATGAATAGGAGTTCTCTTGGATGAACTTGAGGGTAATAATGATGATGATGATGATAGCCAATATTTTCTGAGTGCCTACTGTTTATGAGCTCTAATACACAACTTGTCAGATCAGCTCTGGTGGATTTGACCATTGGAGGCCCTCAGCTTCTAAGTTGCTGACCATGCAATCTCAGAGGACATCACCTTGCCCACCCTGGAGAGAGTGACAAGGAGGGGATATGTCAAGAAGTGTGTGTGGGAGCATAAAAACTGGAACATGTAGGCAGCTAGTTGGGAGCTGGGGTTCAAATGAGAAATCTTACTTAGTCAGATAGGGCAAGTGTTGGCTTAGATATTGTTTTGAGTTAGTGAGCTACCTATCACAGCAGGAGCACAAGCAAGGTTGAATGACAGGAGGTCAGGATGCTTAAGAGTTTGGCCTTGGTGGGGAGTTGGAATCAGGTTTCTACCCCTCTTCCCTGTCCCAACCTTTACCCTATACTAGTAAAGAAATAGACCTTACCATTGTCCAGCTTGAGTAGAGCATGAGGTTTTGACCAACTGGCCTGTCCCCTGGCTGGGATCAGGGGTGATTTGGACCCTGATCATCCTAGAATGAGCCAGGAAAATCCAACAGGAGAAGCGGCCCCAGAAGCCTGAATGAGGGGGTCAGTGGCACCCTGGGCCAGCCTGCAGAAGGCAGCCTCAGTTTTCCCTGTCTGAAGAACGGGTTGGTGGGATGAGATAATGGGGGCTGAGGAGGCAGAGGCTTTGACCAAAAGGGCTTTAAAATGAGGAAGTGACAAGTCAGGGATAGACCCCACACCCTCAGGACACCCCTTCGTATATTACCATTCCATAGCCACATGCAAACACAGACACACACTTTTGCCCTTGTTTCTACATCTCTGTGTTCTGGGTCTGTGGTTCCCGCTCTCTTTTCTGCCGCCTCCTTTGCTGTCTCTCTGTCTAAATTCCTGTCCCATCATCTCTGGGTCAGTAGCTCTCTTTCTGTCCCTGTTTCTCACTCACTGTCTCACCCATTCCTGTGTGTGTTTCTTTCTCACTCAGCAAAGCTCTTTCCACACCCCCCTCTTTATTGCTAAGTATTTCCCCGTGGGTCCCTCCCTCTTCTCCCACACCCATACCCAGGTGGAAGTTTTCAACCAAATCAAAGGCAGGCAGGACAGAAGCCGAAGCTGATGCTGAGCCCTTCAGCACACACAGGGAGGGAGGGAGAGCCCTGGGGAAGTCTGGAAATCGTTACCCAGCCCCTCACCCCTACCCTCTGCTGCCGAGGTGGGCTGTCCTGGCAGAGGGAGGCGGTGGCCAAGAGGGCCGGGACCCTATAGGAAAGGGGGATGTTTCTCATGGATGCCCTGATGCGCTGAGTAGCTCTGCCCTCCTCTCCCTCTGTTCCTCTATTTTTGGGTCTCTGACCACCCCCCGCCCCAGGTCTCTGTCCCCCTCTCTCTGCTGCTCCCTCTCTGGGTCTCTGGGTCTCAAACTCTCTGAACTCTGTACTTCTATTGCTCTCCCCCGCACTTTCTGCCCTCCTCTCCCTCTGGGTCTCCGTCCCCACCCCCCCATTTCTCTGAGTTTTTGTGCCCCTTTTGGGGTCTCTGTACTCTCTCAAAATCCTCCTCTCTCCTGCCTGGGTGTCTTTCTCACTCCATCCATCTGCACGCCTGCAGGCCCTTCATTGGCTGGGTTTAGGGTGGGAGGGTTCTGTCACCCGGGGCAACAGCAACAACGAGCCGGCTCCTGCTAGGCTACGGGGCGGGGGTGGGACCATGGCGGGTCGGAACCTAGCTCGGCGCTACGGTCCCCCACGGTCCCCCATCTCTGGGACCAAGGTGCCTGGATCCCAGCCCAGTTGGCATCTCACCAGCAGTGGCGTCGCCCACCACTGTATCCCGCCCGTGCCCTTTCCCCCGCCCACTGTGCAGGTGAGAGGACCCTAGGCTCTTAGCCAAGAGGAGACTGGGGGCCCAGACTGAAGGAGGGGCCTGGGGATCCAGACACCTGCTGAGAGAAAAGGGGATTCCGGGCTTAGAGTCCTGTCTGACAGAAGGAGGAGGGTTCCAGGGACTGGGTCTGAGAGAGGAGGGGTCAGGGAACCTGGATGCCTGGAACGGGCGGTAGGAAAGGGCTGGGGACTGACTGGGAAGGATCAGGGCTTGCGGACGAGACTCCTGAGTCCTTTTAGCTGACGTCCTGCACCTTCTCCTCAGTCCACGGTCGCGGAGCCCCTGCTCCTGGCCGCAAAGCAGGATTTGCATATTTGGGCTTTCGACGAGGTCACCAACAGATGGGAGACAACCTCGGGCTCGGCTCACGTGCCCAAGACCCACGGCGGGCCCTACGCGCAGCCCAAGGCCCCAGAACCTGCGGACCGCACGCGGATTGTGGGGATCAAGGATGTAGCGGAAAAAGTAAGGTTCTGGGATGCCCAGGTCCGCGGGAGACAGGGCTGGGGACCGCACTGGAGTCCCGTGCACCCTCATGTTGTGTCCCTGCGTCGTCTTCTTGCAGCTCAGACACCGCGGCTGGCGCCTCCCTCTGATCACAAAGCACCAGTGCAGTGAGACGAGGGCGCAGTACACCGGCTGGCCCAGCCTGGGCCGGGGCGCCACCTCCTTCATCGGGCCCCAGCCCCTGGAGCTTGCGGACCACAACCGAGGGGGCCCTTCCCAGGTAGCGGAGAAGACCGCAGTGGCAGGATCTGGCAGAGCTTTGAGACCCTGGGGCGGGGTCTGAGGGAATTTTGAGTCTGGGGTCTAAAGAGTGGGACAGAATCTGGAGGTTACATTGAGTGGGGAAGGGGCTTAGGCCTTTTGAGGCGGAGCCAGGAGGAGGAGGGGACTGGAAGCCCGAAATCCCAGCTCTGAGGCTGGGGACATAGCTAGTAAATCCTGGGGCGGGCCTAGGAGGCGGTTCTGAGGCTGTGGGCGGAGCTAGGTAGCCTAATGTACGTGTGGGCGGAGCTTGAATATTCTGAGGCCGGTCTGGGGCGGAAGGCGGGGCTGGCTTCCCCTGTTAGGGTGGTGTAAGGAGTAACAGTCGCCCGAGGCGCAGCTGAATTCCAGGGGCGGGACCGAGAAGGTTTGAATCTAGGGGAGGCGCAGGGAAGGTTTTTTAGTGACTGGGTGCTTGGCTTTGTGTCCGATGACGGGCAAAAAGTATTTGGATTTTGGAGGTGAGGCTAGTAAGGGTTCTGATTTGGGGAGCGAACCTGAAGTGCACTGGCCAGGAAGGATTCTGATTCTGGGGGCGGGTGTCGGCCTGGTTCAGAGGCGCTGTTGAGGCCAAAGGAAGAGGAATTCCGTCTGGGACAAAGGGCATGAAAAAGGGTATGAAACCTTTCTTGCTCATCCCTCCTCCCGCAATCCTCCTCAGGCTCTAATCCCCTGGACGAAGAACCCCGAGCTGGCCGGCCGGCCTTTCACTATTTCTGACCAGGGCATCCTGGACCGCCATCAGCTCTATCTGACCATTTCGGCCCGGGACTTCCAGGCCTATTCGAAGTGAGCCTGGGTCCTCCCTTGGCACCGACCCCCTGCACAGCCCCCGCATAGGCTGGTGGGACGCCGAGTCCCCCGGTGTTGGCTCCCCGTCTCTGACTCAGTAGTCTCGGCCTTCAGCTCCTGCACGCGCAGTAATCAGAAGTTCAGACCCAGCCCCTACCTTTTTTAGCGCCCTGGTATACTGAGTGTCAACTCTCAGGAACAGGAAGCCTGCAAACGGCCCAAGAAGGAGTTCTGGATCTGGGGACGTGGCCTTGAGGGTCTAGGGCGGGCTTCCTTTGGTATTTGAGTCCCCCAGATAACTCTTTTCCAAGGATGAGAAAAGTCCCAGATTCCAGGCCCTTAAATACCTCGAGGACCCAGGAATCCAGGCTCATGCTTCCTAAAGGGTCCCTGACTCCTACAAATGTGTCCTCGAGGATCTATCTAGCTGTGCCCTCCCCATCGTGCCTCCACCCCAAACCCCGACAGGAAGGAGTTGTCAGGCTACCCTCGCAAGGACTCGATGGCCTCCTGGAGCTTCGGGGAGACGCCCCAGGCCTGGGGCCCCGGCCCGAAGCAGCCGCCCGGTCCGTGCTCCTCTCGGCCACTCCGGCCGCCGAAAATCCGCGTGCCCCGCACCCGTCCGGTGATGCCAGTCGTGCCGCACCGCGGGGCGCTGTCTCTGGCTCAAGAATCCTACAGCCCCCCGCTGCACCCACTCCGCCGGCTCGACCGTTTCTGCCCGCTGGAGCTGCCCTGGGGCGGCCCCCACTGGAAACCCGAGTCAGGCATCTACAGCGTGCCGCAAGCCTACAGCACCGAGAACTTCAACTACGGCAGCTTAAAGCCGGCGCCGGCCTGAGCCAGACGGGCCAGCCCCGCCCTGGACACGCCCCCCAAGCGGGGGCGGTGCTGAGCCTGGAAGACTGGGACTAGGGGTACACTGGGTGGGGCTAAGACGGGACCCCGCCCACCACCTGGGGGCGGGGCAGAGCTTGGACCGTGGGCGGGGCGAATCTAACAGGTCCACTCGATCACGGGGGCGGGACTGACCCTGGAAAATGTACCTTGGGGCTGTGGGGTAGAGGGTGGCACACACCCTCTGCGGCGGAAAGGGCAGAGCTTATCTCAGTAGACGACAGAGTTAAATAGCCTAAACCACGCTCTTTGCTGGGTTCAGTTCCGGCATCCTGGTTTCTGGGGGCCTGAGTGTGGGGCAGGTGGGATTCCCGCTGAATCCCTGGTGGAGGGGCGGCGCGTCTGGGTGGACCCCCCCCACCTCTGGTGACAGAATCCAACGTCGAAGCCACCCCCCTCCTAAGAAGTCGGACTCAGTCTACGGCAGGTGGAGCAGGGTTGAGACTTCAGCCTATAACCACTGGAGGATTGTCAGAGGGGCGGCGCTCCAGCCTCTGGCGGGCTCCCCTCAGGATGGGTAGAGGGGGGCCCACAAGGCAGGGGGCACAGCCTCCTATACCCTATTTCTTGTGCTCCCACCACGGCCTCCCTAGCACCTGGGGACTGAGTCTGTGAAGTCTGCTTCACCTTGGGCGTCTCTGCTTCTTGGAGCGGAAGCCACTCAGGGAGTGGGGGGAGGGGGGCGCCACTGGGCCATTCCTGCATCTCCCTGACCTTGTCTGCCTCTCGCCCCCGGGGAGATTAGTGTCCAGGTTACCCCACCATGCTGCCGCCCCCAGTGGCCTTGACGCCCCCACAGCCCGCAGCTATAAGACCAGGTAAACGCGGCAGGGGAGACACCGAGGATGGAGATGCTCCAGGTAAGACCGCAGGGCCCCTGGGCCCCTTGCGACTACATCCAGGCCACGGCTGGAAGGAAGAGGGAGAGTCCTGTGACCTGGCAAAGGAGGCCTCTTTCTAGAAGGGTGTGGAGAGCCAGCAAGCTTCCTGGCAGGAGGAGGGAAGCAGCTGGTGCAGGGCCTGAGGGTGGGTATCTGGGGTCCCTGGGTATGGGGATGGGAGATTCTTGAATGGAAGACGTCAGGCAGAGGAGCTGGGTCCCCGAACGTGTGCATGCAGGGCCGGGGGCTGGGTGGTAAGGACTCGGGGCGGAGGGCTCGGGCTGGCCCTGAGGCGCTGGCCTGGTCCCAGGGGCTGCTGCTGTGGCTGCTGCTGAGCGCGCCCGGGGTGTGGGCACCCGGGGGGCCACTGCGGCCGCGGTGCCGGCCCATCAACGCCACCCTGGCCGCTGAGAACGAGGCCTGCCCTGTCTGCATCACCTTCACCACCAGCATCTGTGCCGGCTACTGCCCCAGCATGGTGAGCTGCCCGGGGTGGGTGGGTGCTGCCACCTCAGCTCCAGGTGGATTACTCAGGGCCAGGCCCACAGACGACAGGAAGTGGCCCCGGGGGTAGAAAGGTGGCCCGCCGCCCGGGGCAGGGGCTGGGCGTGTGGGAGGGAGAGCACAGATGGTCCTCTGGACACCCGAGTCTGGGATCTGTAGGGTGCAGTGAGGGAGCTTGGGGGAGGGCTTGGCCCCAAGTAGACACCCAAGCCCTCCCCCCCAACCCCGCCACCTCCAGGTTCGGGTGCTGCCGGCTGCCCTGCCGCCTGTGCCCCAGCCAGTGTGCACCTACCGCGAGCTGCGCTTTGCCTCCATCCGGCTCCCCGGCTGCCCGCCTGGCGTGGACCCAGTGGTCTCCTTCCCTGTGGCCCTCAGCTGTCACTGCGGGCCCTGCCGCCTCAGCAGCTCTGACTGTGGGGGTCCCAGAGCCCAGCCCTCGGCCTGTGACCGCCCCCCTCGCCCAGGCCTCCTCTTCCTCTGAGGATCCCCACCCCAACCTCCCATGCCCACCTCAACTCCTGGAGCCAGCAGACGCTCCTCCCCATGCCTCCTAATAAAGACTTCTCAAACTGCACTCTGGGGGTGTCTTTCTGGGGTCTCAGGGTGTGTGCGCCTGTGTACGTGCACACACAACACACACAATAGGTCCAGTTTCAGAACCATTTTATACAAAGTCACAGTGTCAGAACTCTGGGAGAAAATGGGGAAGCGGGGGTGAAGGTGATATCAGCTCAGGAGGTGTCCATGGTTTCACCTTCTGTCGGGAGAAGGAAGGCCATGTGGTCAGTGTGGCCCCGAGGGCAGGGCCTGAGCTCTCCAGGCTGGGCTCCCTCCTCCCTCTCTGGGGCAGGCGGGGAGGGGGACACTCACTGAGCTCATTGAAGAGGAAGGCGTCCTGGTACTCCTTCATGTACTGCGTGGAGCGCGACTCATCCAGGAAGAGCGAGTAGACCCGCTTGATGTCATCCACCTGTACCTCGGTGCCCTGATAGGGGAATTGAGACCTCAGTGGGGCCCCTCCCAGGAGGTGGGTCAGGGTGAGGACTCTGGGGCCAGGTCGCCTGGATTCAAATCCTGCCGTGGCCACCTCGTGGCTGTGGGCCCCACCTCCCCACTGCTCAGTTTCTTTTTTTGTTTGTTTTTCTGCGGTACGTGGGCCTCTCACTGTTGTGGCCTCTCCCGTTGCGGAGCACAGGCTCCGGACGCGCAGGCTCAGCAGCCATGGCTCACGGGCCCAGCCGCTCCGCG